ATCCCTTTGATGCTACCTGAATAAATCTCCAGAACCAAGAGGCTCTCAGTGGGCTGAAGGTGAACCCTGGGCAGAGCGAAGTTCTTCCTACATTCTCTCACTTCTTCAGACCTTCTTCAGTCCAAAGCTCCATGTTCGTTAGAACGGAGGGCAGGAAGGGAAGAGCTAGGAGATCCTCGGCTTCCTTCCAGATTGATCTCCTCATTAAGTTTTGCAACCAAGTCTCCAAACTTGTGTTTAGTTTTAGTCTTGTTTAGTCATCAGACTGCGTCATCCAGCTTTTCCAGCTGACCTGGTTTATCTCTTTCACATCAGGGAACGAGGGGACAGGATAACGACACTCCAGGACCTAAGGGAGACCGTGGGGATGCTGGCCTGCCGGTATAGTCTCCCTCAGCTTTTTTCTGCTGTACAGGAAGTGTTAAACTTGGTTTATTATTGTGATTGGAATGTTGGTTTTCTGATGACAGGGAGACCCTGGTTTAGACGGAGTGATAGGAGAACGGGGGGAAAATGGCAGACAGGTAAACAACTCTTGAAATCACTGAGCAATATTGGAGGCTTTGAGTGAACCAAGGTGTGACTCTGTCCTTATCTTCCTTAGGGTCTGGATGGTAACAGAGGCCAACCGGGATCACCTGTAGGTCACTTTCTAGAGTTTGTTAATATTTGAATAACTTTCATAGTTAGCTAACATTCTGCTGCTTCCCTGAAGGGACGTCCCGGGTCAGCCGGAGCAAAAGGTCTGCCAGGACAGCAGGGCATCGCAGGATCAAGAGTGAGTTTGCTCTCTTCATTTCCATAAGATTATCTGGATGAGAATTACAGAGATGGGGAAGCTTAGATATTCTGGATTTAATAATCCTAAAATTTCCTGCCAGCAGTTTGATGAGCTGCTTTCATTGGATTCCTACTAGCACATCTTTTTAGATAACGACATTCTTTAGTCATTAACAGAAATCATGAAAGAAACGTCAATCATTGAGACCAGCTTTGTCTTTCTGAAGGGTCGAGCTGGACCAATCGGTACTCCAGGACCTAAAGGGGAGGATGGGAATGCCGGTCCTAGAGTGAGTCCACCAAATGGATCTGCTGTTCTGTATCCGGGGTATCGTGCTAATCCTAAACCTCATCTGATGATGCTTGATTGTTCAGGGTCCTGGTGGTATCCCGGGTCCCGCCGGAGATACAGGAAGAAGAGGACCTCTTGGTCGCAAGGTAGAGAACCGGAGCGAGCTTGATGAGTGTCTGACTGTGAACGGGTCGGCTACGTAGCATGGACGGACATGCATGAGCCAACAGGGAGACGCTTGGTTCCGTTTCATTCAATCCGTAGAACCACATGATCCATCCTTTCCTGTTTCCTCTGAGATGTTTTCCTTATCCAGTCAATCTGCTTCTCATGGTCTCATTTTAGGGAGAACCGGGAGATCCAGGACCACCTGGTGAGGGCGGTTCCATTGGACCCCATGGAGAACCAGTAAGAATAAACTCTTTTTCCATTAATTCCAGTTTATGACTCTCTTTGCTTGATTAACCCGTTATACCTCTGATTAATTTTACTAATTCTACCCTAGCATGACCTTCTCCTAAAACTTTATATATTTAGATCATTTCCATGAGATGAATGTTTTCCTTTTTTACTAACTTTGATCCTAAGATGGATCGGTCATATTAGGAAACAACTATAATACGTACTTTTCAGACAAATAAGCAAAAAAAATAAAGAGACTAAATTCTGTCAGTTTCCCCAACGTATATTTTTACATACTGGATATGTAAAAAAAAATCCTAGATTAATGTTTTTCACTATAAATAGTTAATCCTTTCAAGCTGAAGTCAGAAAATATGGAGATTTTCAGCATGTTTACATTACTACATAATAAATAAATATGGAATAAATAAAATGATTTTTAAAGGTTTTACAGTTTTTTTCAGTGTCCTGTCTGGCGATGAGGCGATAAGAATAATTGCCTTGATGCCAAAAAACGATAGCAACAGATTTGACTTTCACCAGTGGAGCCGTCCGGCTATCGCCACAGTGTTCCGCTTGCTTTATGCATTTAAATAGCTTAATGTTGTTGTTTTTTATAATCCATGCAGGGAGTCTGCTTTGTGTAGTTTTAACTTGCTCACATTAATGTAACTGATTTCTTTGTTAATATAAATGTTAAATTTAAACCATCTTTAAATAAAAAATGTGACTGTTTGTCCCAGAAAACCAGCTGGTCACAGCATTTTTGTCCTTTTTCCATTCAGGGTCCAGATGGTAGCGATGGTTTCGGTCCGAAGGGTGAGAAAGGAAGACAGGTGAGAGCAAAGGGCTGCATGAGCTCAGTAGAAATGGTTCAGGTGACCTTTAAGGTCAGTCAGTGAATAAATCAGGATGAAGACGATGCTATAAATCCTTTCCCACTGTGTGCGCTTCTTTAAAGGGAGGTACTGGTTTCCCAGGGAACCCCGGACCAAAGGTAGGCCACAGCCTTTCACTCCAGCTTAGATTTCATGTAAAGCGATGCTGCTGCATCTATCTGCCTGTTTTTCGTGATTTCAGGGGGAAGCTGGAGACCCTGGAAAACTGGGTGGACCTGGAGCCCGAGGAAACCGCGGACAGAGAGTTTGTCTTTTTAGTCATTTCATTATATGCTACATAATTAATTTCTCTATGGAGTTACCAAATCTTTACAGCAGTGTTTAAGACCAAATGTTGACTCTTTCTAGGGAGTATCTGGGAAACCTGGACTGCCTGGACAGAAGGGAGAGGATGGGTATTCTGGACCCTACGTAAGCCTCCTAAAACCTTCAGCTTTATTCACATTCTCCAGGGCTGTTTGAACATGAAAAAAGCCCAGCTTTAGATGAGCTATAATGAGCTGCAGGGAGGGGAAGAAATGCTCCATGTTTTAAACTGCTTAGCCAGAGCAGAAGATGGAGCTAGCGGAGCTCTTAGACGGGGTATTAGTTAATTGTGTATGGGTCTGTTAACGAGCTTGTTTTTGCTTCTACAGGGACCCAAAGGACCAAGAGGACCAGGTGTTGTGGTACGTGTTCCCTACCTACGGAATAACCTTTTTCTGCATCTATTCTGTGTATATCTAGTTTCCTAAAAGTTGACTCTTCCTCCTTCCAGCAATGTGACCTAGTCCAGAAGATCAGAGATAACTGCCGTAAGTTTTCCTGACTTCAATATTATCGTTCACTCGGAGCACAAACCGATTCTTACAATGTTTTTATTGTTCTTTTTATCTTTATCAGCTTGCTGTTTTGGTGAGTATAAAAGTGTCTTTGCTTTGGATTAAAATGCTTCAGATCAGGCCGTGATCATGGGGGCAGGAAGTTAGACTAGGCCTCTCTGTGCGTGTTCTTAGGTAAGGAGGAATGTCCGGTCTACCCCACGGAGCTGGCTTTCGCCCTGGATGTCTCCCAGACTGTCGATCGCCAAGTTTTCAACAACATGCGAGACACTGCCGCTCTCCTTGTTAAAAACATCACCATCGCTGAGAGTAACTGTCCAAGAGGCGCTCGCGTTGCTCTGACACTGTACAGCAACGAGGTCATCACTGAGGTCCGGTTTGCCGACGCATTGAAGAAACGGTCGCTGGTGGATCGCATCGAGGGACTGCAAAAACCAAGATCCAACAAGGAAGCAAGTTTGGAAACAGCCATGACCTTTGTGGCCCAGAACACCTTCAAGAGAGTGCGCAGTGGTTTCCTTATGAGGAAAGTGGCCGTCTTCTTTGTTGGTCACCGGGTTAGGCAGACTCAGAGAATCACTAATGCCGCTCTTCGCCTTCACGATGCTGGGATAGCTACCTTGATCTTGGTGAACAGTGAGAACAGAGAGCTCAGCCGGGCTGTGCAGGTATGACCGACTGATGGAGCCTTTAACGGTTCTTTGAGACCATTTTAACCTTCATTTATATTTATCACCTCTATTTAATATTCTCCCTGTAAAACAGGTGAACAATACAGCGCTGGCCCAGGTTATAGTTCTTCCTGCCTCCGGAAGCTCTCAGTACAACTCAGCCTTCAAGAAGGTCCTGAACTGCCACGTCTGCTTCGGTAAGATGACCTAAAGCTGTTTCTACACATTTGTGTCAAACTACAGTAGCAGCAACCAAAATGGCCCCTACCAGTCAAAAGCCAGCCGAATGGCAACCTAAATATAGCCGAAATATAGCCGAATGGCAGCTGACTGGCAGCCGGTCATGGAAAAAAGTATTCAACCCTTCACCAGGTTAAATAAAAGGCAAATATCTTTGCAAAGAAAGAACAGTTCATCATACAGCCCTAATGGCAGCATTCTGCTCTGTTCTGATCTGAGCAGCGTTCGTTCCTCCTTACTTACAACTATGGAAAGCAGTCAGAGTCTAAACTAATTACAGACACTTTGGTTAAACAGTAACATGTTATGAATAAACCTTGAGAAGGAATCTGGTTTGTTATGGGAAAAAGCTTTGTCTGGTCTACAATCCTGCAGAGAATGTCGTGGTCTTCAAGGTGAAACAGACTGAGTGAAAACGTTTATAGTGAGTAAATAAGATAAATTAATATAGAAGAGAAATCAAAATTTTCCGAAAACACAGCCTAAATGCACCCGAACGGTAGCCGAACGGTAGCCGAATGACAGGAGATGATGCTTCTCTTTAGATATTAATGTCCTATCATGACAGAAAGAATATTTTAGATGTTTAAAAAAGGAATTGTAGGGGACTAGCCAAGGGTCAATCAAGGAAAGTCGGGAAACTTTGAATGGCTACGACTGTAATAAAGACATTAAAGCACTGAGAGAAAAATGATAATTATTGGGAGAACCAAAGACTGGCATCTAAGCATTGGATATTTTACATAAAAAAAAAGCTCAAGCTGAAGTTCTAGTTTTCATTGGGTTTAAAGTTTTTTTATGATTTTAAAATTTTTTCCATTCAGGTTTTAACGATTTTGACTGAAATGTAGGCAGGTTCTATATGTAGACTACAGCTTAGGCTGGATGAGCTTCAACAGTTTGTTTCTGGAACGTCGCATAACTCCGTGCTCTGGTTTCAGAAAAACAAAATCTCTTCCTTTGTTTGCTATTTTATCATCATCATCATCATTTAGAAGCTTTTTGATTGCTGTTAAAGCTTTGATTGTTGAATGTACCAGTGCTTTTGCATTAAGAAGCATCTTTGTTCTTTGTGTAGATTTCTGCTCTCCGGATCAGGTCTGTGACTTTATACCCCCAGCGACCAGCCGAGACCGGAGGTCGCTGACCTCTGATGTGGACATTGACATGGCGTTCGTCATTGACAGCTCTGAGACCACGTTCCCCTCCTTCTTCATTGAGATTAAACGATACATAGCTCACATCGTAGAAGCTCTCCACGTGACTTCGGATCCCATGACATCTGTTCATCATGCTAGAGTAGCTGTTGTCCAGCAAGCTCCTTATGCGTTTCTCCGCAACAGAACTGGTCTTCCCATCCACGTGGACTTTGGCTTGACCCAACACCGCTCTGCTCCAGACATCGTCAGGTTCCTGCTGGAGAAGACGGAGCAGCTGGAGGGCGGCCGTGCCCTCGCCTCGGCCATCGAGTCCACAGTGGAGCAGGTGTTTGAAAAAGCGCCGCTGCAGCGCGACAGGAAGGTGATTGTCCTCTTTGTGACCGGCAGCGTAGCGGAGGAAGAGGAGCAGCTGGTCCGCGTTGCCAGTGAGATCAAATGCAGAGGATTCTTCCTGGTGATTTTTGGCGTGGGTAAAGCGCTGGGTCCCAGAGACGCTTACGTTCTGTCCCGCATGGCGAGCGAACCTTCAGATGTCTTCTTCAAACGCCTCGACCTCATTTCTGACTTCTATGACAAACACATCCAGACGTTTGGGCAGCTGTTTGCAAAGTACATCAGCTGTAAGTCAGACGCTGATTTCATTCTTCTCCACAATCACTGGAAGTACCTTCATCCTTTGTTTCTCTGCCTCTTAGTTGAAAACCGTCCTGAACTGTCCAAGAACTGTGCGTGGGTGCAGAGTGACCAGCCCCTGAAAAGCCCCCTCCCACCAGCTCCCCATCAGGAGTAAGACCGCTCCCTCTTTCTCTTCATGTGTTCATAACCAGTCTGTTTTCATTGCTGTTTTATTTGCTTTACCAGGAAACAACAGAAACACTATGAAACTAACCAGGCCGTTCATGACAAGAAGCTTCATGGTAAGATGTTCAGAAAGCAGCCAGATCTGGAGGTTAGAGCTCCAAGCTTCTACCAGCTGCTTCTACCAGTTCTATCCACTGGTTCTACCCCAGTCTGTCCTTCTGCTACATCTGCAACTCCTTGATCTCCCTGTCTGGATCTTATCAGTCAGGCTGAACTCTAATGCTACGTTCACACTGTGATTTCAGCATCAAAAATCCTGTGCTGCTTCATTTCTGATGCTTGTCCACATTAAGCTCAGCCGTCCAGTAAAGTGAGTCCAGATGCTTCTGCTGCTCCTGAGTTCGATGCCAGAGAGCAGCTTTGCTATATTAGCTGTGATCAGCGGGTAGAAAGTAGTTAGAATCTATGTTGAAGTGAGAAAGTCCTCCTGAAAACATGGTCTGTGCAGTCAGTTCATCCAGATTACCATCCTGCCTTCAAAGATTATTTCTCTGTGGGAGCCGCTCAGACCCCCACATACCGGCTGGGCACTGTCACTGGGAATCCTCACCAGCAGCTGCCTCAGGCCTGGTCGTCTTTTTGCCGTGGCGGCTGGAAGGCGGTTTTCATGTACGTAATCCAAACTG